TGATCTACACAGGGTTAATTTTTGTATAATCGTGTGTACTCATTTGCGTACTACATGAGGCCATTGATTATTCCAGCTGGCTTTAGGATAACCAAGAATATCTAGCAAAGATCACAGTCAAAATAGCACCAAATAAGGGGTTTAAACGACTCCTTTTTTTTACAGTACAGCATAATTTGTGAATTGTTGAGCCTATTTACGAGGACCGGAACGTAGTTTAAAAGATAGTTTAGTGAATTGAAGGCTTAATGTAACTAAATTTGAATTAGTGCTGAATGCGTCGGCGGTTTCTAATGAATTACAATTGCGAAAAAAAGTGAAGAAGTATTTTAGTACAGTCGGAGGTATTTTAAAGACGCCGGTCTACTGAAAACTCCTAAAAAACACACAGAACATTGTTACATAACATCAACGCCGATACATGAGATTTAGGTCATATGTTTTTTAAATTAAAATAAAAATTGAATGTTTGAAGATTTTGGGGATGCATTTGCCGGAATATTTATGTGTTGTTATTATATGTTTTCACAAAACGGACCTAAATTTCATTTTTAATTTCTAATTTATTTTCTGGGAAAAGGTTGGTTTTGGAGTCAACAAAAGGATAGAGTAAATGACGTCACTTAATCGGATTTTTTTCCAAAATTATTACGAATTTGTACCAATAGACAGTTCTAATCGAATTTCAAGCCTTTTCCAAGGTTGGACGGAAAGCTCATCCAAGTGCCCCTGCCGGAATCAAAGTTCATCCTACATGTTTTTTGGCACAAAGATATGCTCAAACATTCATAGTTCCACAATATATATATCTTTTTGAAACAGTGGCGTCACAGCCGTTTTTACGTGTGGGGACTTACACATTGAAACTCGAAAATTAAAAGCATTACTCGGGAAGCAAGGATACAGAGATGATTTATAGAGCTTTGAAAAAGCTGGGGGGCTACAGTCCCCCTACAGCCCCCAGCCTGCGCTCCTGTAAAAAAGTGTAAACCAGCTGTTGGTCGCAC